TTTTTAACGTTTATTGATTTTTTTGAGACAGAGAGAGACAGCATGAACGGGGGAAGGTCAGAGAGAGGGAAACACAGAATCTGAAACAGGCTCCAGGCTCTGAGCTGGCAGCACAGAGCCCGACGTGGGGCTCGAACTCATGGACCGCGAGATCATGACCTGAGGTGAAGTCGGCCGCTTAACTGACTGACCCACTCAGGTGCCCCATGCACTGTTGATTTTAACCCCAAGTTATTTCTCACATCCTCTTGCACGCCCCTCTAGATTTCATCTAAAGTCTGTGGCATTACACGGTCACCTTCCTGCTTCTAGTCAACCTACCCTCACCCCCATTGGGTCCTACAACTCCCTTGTCCCTTAACCCAGAGCACAGGTGTGCCGTGGGGGCATGGCTGCCCAACAGGAGATGCTTTGAAAAAGTATGGGAGCATCTTTGCTTATGACAGTCGTTTGGGGGTACCACTGGCCTTCAGTGCATGGAGACCAGAGATGCTAGACTCCCCGAAATGCACAGAACTGCCCCATGCAGCATGAACTTTCGAGATGTTCCAGACTTGCATGTGGGTGAACAACATGCTTATAGACTAGAGCTCCAGTGTATATGAAACACCAAGTGGTTTGTTTTTAATTTAAAATTTTTTTGATATTTGTTTATTTGTTGATTGATGTTTATTTATTTTTGAGAGAGAGAGAGAGACAGAACACAAGTGGGGGAGGAGCAGAGAGAGCCAGAGACACAGAATCTGAAGCAGACTCCAGGCTCTGAGCTGTCAGCCCAGAGCCCAATGAGGGGCTCGAACTCACGACCTGCAAGATTGTGACCTGAGCCAAAGTCGGACGCTTAATCAACTGAGCCCCCCAGGCGCCCCAAATTTTTTAAAGCAAAGAATGTGCCTGCTTTTATCTTCACAGCATTGTCTCAAATATTTTTCAGTGCTCTGTCTTAAAAGCACGGTATTGCTTGGACTTTTCCATAACATTTAAAATCACAGTAGGCTATTTGTAGTTACATTTTGGGGGAGTCAAAAACCGCACGTGGATTTTCAGCTGCACAAGAGGGTCAGCACCCCAACCCCCACACTGTTGATGCTGGTGCTGTTCCTCTGCGGATTCACTTTTGATTCTGAGGTTTTGCACTAAAATGGCTTCCGACTTTCTCATTTCCCTTAAGTTCAAAACTTAGCATAGTGGGTGCAAGTATCTGACTGTTCTTGGGGTCTCCCGTGGAGTCGGCAGATCGGTGATATGTTGAAGCATTCATCAGTTTATCATAAATGGCTTTCCTTTTATTTCTTTTGGACTTAAAGCATTGTATAGACTTTTTAAAAAGTGATGTGCGAGGGCGCCTGGGTGACTCAGTCGGTTAAGCGTCTGAGTCTTGGTTTTGTCGAACTAGCCAGCCGCCCGATCTCTCTGGGTTTGTGAAAGTTTGACCCGACCCCCCCCCCCACGCATCGAACACGCGCGCACGCGCGGAAGGAGACATCGTGGGGCCTGCTTTGATTCTCTCTCCCCTGCTCCCTCTCCGCTCCTCCCTTGCTCCTGCTCTCTCTCTCTCTCAAAATAAATAAATTGATTTAAAAATCTTTATAAAAATATTTGCTATATTTGATGTCTGAGAAGTTGGGAATCGCTGACCCTATAAAAATCCTTTAATGACATCAAAGGGCTGAGATAGTCACCTTCATATCTGATCGACCCCACTGCCCAGTCCCCTCTTCCTAATCTTACCTAATACTCAGGCAAGAATCTGGCGATTCCTTAAACGTGACATGCTTATTCACACCTCGGTGTGTAGATGGGAGGCAGTGTGTAGATCATGGGGGCATCATGAGTCTTTTCACTCCCAGACCTCCAGAGTGGAGTCACACACTGGGAATAAGTCCATGCCCAAATCGCTTATGGTTGAAAATCACCCTTAGGAGTTTTATTAGTTTCCAATTATTGCTGCAAAAAATCACCAGAAGGTAGTGGCTTGAAACGATGCAGGATTATTATCTTACAGTTCTGGAAGTCACAAGTTCTAAATGGGTCTCCCTGGGCTAACATTAAGGTGACAGCACAGCTGAATTCCTTTCGGATGCTCTAGGGTAGAATGCATTCATTTCTGTTCCCAGCTTCTAGAAGCTGCCTGCTTTCCTTGGTTTGTGCGCCCTTTTACTCCATCTTCAAAGCCAGCAACATTGGCCCAAATCCTTCTCATGCTGGTTCTCTTTTCGGATTCTCTCTTCACTTTTAAAGACCTTTGTGGTTGCAATTATCTCACTCAGACACTTCAGGGAAAATCTCCCAATTTTAAGGAGAGCTGACTGGCAACCTTAATTCTGTTTGTAAACTCAATTGTCTTTTGGTCATGTAACTTAACATATTCACAGGTTCTGAGGATTAGAAGGTGCCCATCCTTGAGGGGGACATTCTGTTCCCCGTAGGAATCCCTTAAATTGCCCACAGAAGTACAGTATACTGAGAAACAGCCGAGGACACAGTGGTTCAAGGCATGGATTCTGGAGCAAGATTATTTGCCTTCAAGTCCTGTCTCTGCCACTTGAGCCATATTAATCTTAGACAAGTTCCCTGTGTCTCAATTTTGCCATCTGTAAAATGGGGATGAAGGGGCGCCTGGGTGGCGCAGTCGGTTAAGCATCCGACTTCAGCCAGGTCACGATCTTGCGGTCCGTGAGTTCGAGCCCCGCGTCAGGCTCTGGGCTGATGGCTCGGAGCCTGGAGCCTGTTTCCGATTCTGTGTCTCCCTCTCTCTCTGCCCCTCCCCCGTTCATGCTCTGTCTCTCTCTGTCCCAAAAAAAAATAAACGTTGAAAAAAAAAATTAAAAAAAAAAAAAAAAAGAAAAAAAAAAAAGAAAATAAAATAAAATGGGGATGAAAACAATAGTGCCCACTTTACAGGTTTGTAAACACTTAGAATGATGTAGGAGGTGCTATATATATTACAAAATATATTCAGTTTTACGGGCCTGGCTGACACTGGAACAAGACTAATGTCCCGCCGACCCTCAGACAAGATGTTGGCTCGACTCTTGCCCACCTCTGAGGTTCCTCAGAAATGGGAAATAACTCCAGTGTCTTGTTTTACTCTCACTCTTGGTCATGTGCTCCTGAAGTGGGATGGGATGATGAAAGCATCTGTACTATTCACAGTTTGTTCTTAATATTTTGCCGAGTGAGTGGCTGAGTTGCTAAAAAGTAGCTGTTGATTTGATGTGACTTCAAATCATTCGTTTGCTGAATGAATGAGTGAATGGATGGATGGATGGATGGATGGGTGAGTGGATCTGCCTTCCTGGGAGATCTGTCCCCACTACACATCTCTCCACAGGTGTCCTTTCGCTTGCTCCAAGGAGGTAGCCACGCAGAGGGTGAGGAAGTAGCTCTGGTGCTGACATCTGACCCGCTTTTGCACTTCCCGCAGGATTGAAAGTTTGCTCAGGACCATGGAGAGCAGCTCCGGCAGTCCTCAGCCCACGGAGTCCGATCCCCTGGAGGCTTTTCCCCAGAGGAGCCTGGAGCCAGGTGACATCGCGGTATTGGTTCTGTACTTCCTCTTCGTCCTGGCTGTTGGACTTTGGGTAAGCCAGGCCAGAGGAGGCAGAGGTAGAAACTCGCCCAAGGTCGTAAAGTAATTAGAACTTTAAACTTGTAAAAATACAGAGTTGACCATGGGTCAGGTGCTGTCTTAGGCACTTTCGTCTCATGCTATGTCATGTAATTTGCACAGATATCTATGAAGAAGACGCTACTGCTGTACCCATTTTATAGATAAGGACACTGAGGCTCAAAAATGGAAACTCCTTGTATATTAGTAAGTTAGCACAGCTGGGTTAGAATCCATATCTCCTTCACTTTGAAGCCCATATTCTTTTTTCTTTTTTAAAGCAAGCTTTTTAAAACAATGTTTTTAATGTTTTTTATTTTTGAGAGAGAGAGAGAGAGAGACAGAGTGTGAGCAAGGGCAGGGGAGGGACAAAGAGACAGGGAGAGGCACAGAACTCAAAGTGGGCTC